CCAAATCCAAAAACATCAGTGTGCCCGGTTTTGAAACACAAATAATATGTTGTCTTTGATTGTCATAATATATGTTATGATATGTTGTAGAAAACCAATATTTTAACTTGTTTGGTAAACTGTTAGTCATCATAACTGCCTCTAACAATATATTATTTAATTAAACATCTGTAAAGGCTAAGATGTGTTTTATTGTTTTTAGTACAAACTCTTTACAGAATTATAAAAAGAGTTGGGTTCAAACAGTAGCCATTGTGTAATTCTATAAAAGTCTTTCAATAATTTAGTTTTTAATACATGTGACATACTGCTTGTCTTTAAAAGTAACGTTTTAACATTATAATTCCAAGTTTCTCCTGCAATTTTCAGAACCCACTTCTCTTTCTGATGTATCTTCTAAGTTGTATTACTTTTCAATCTGTTTTACTTTCAGGTAGGATAATTTAGCAGTATAATTTGATCTGTCTTTGAATATTTTCAGATGTCTCATGCTGCTGCTACCTCTCTCTGTAAGAGTATGAAATTGGCTTGCGAACTCTACCCATCTCGTCATGTAGCTTTATGTTTAGATCCATATTGTGGGTTGGGCTTTGTGCTCTGGTGTCTGAGTAGGTAAGATAACTAAAATAATAACATATCCAAACCTAAACCAGCAGAAATAGTCAATCATGCATCCAGTAGTGGAAGAGATGATGATCAGGAAATACAGTTGTCATTACAATACATGTTAACTTGTTGCAGTGACATTAAGTTTTTCAAAGAAACTTTTTACCTGTTGAATATGCTGATGGATTGTTTTACATATGTATTAAAATAAGTAAAAGAAAATTGAATATTTTTCAAGTATGTCATTATTTTACTTTCCTGACTTTTTATGGGTGTGTTTTAGAATCAAAATACAATTAATCACTTCTTCTGTATATGAAAAGCTTACATATTTTTTTGAAACTATGTGTTATATTTTTCAGAGGTTATTTCAGTTACTGATATTACTGTTAATTTTGAAATTCAGTTTTTTTGACAGAAGATAACACCACAAAGTTGCCGTAAATAGTGACCTCAAAAAGTTTAAGCTTTTAGTTATTTTTTGACATTTTTGAGTATGTAAAAGGTTTTACTTTTTTCTAATCAATGATTTTTTTTTCAACAGTGTCTACTCTGGCCATCACTCAATCCTCATTCCTCCCTCTGAAATAGAAGTTAATCCAGCTCTGTGGTTGTCTGCCTTAAGCCAGTTTAAAGGTAGAAAGGTTTTTATGCAACATAACTACAAACTAGATAGCTTCCTGAATATATTGCATCAGAGTCTCGCAACTTTGGCTTTCTGTCTTTTTAGCACTCTTCCATGGCAAAGCTTTACTCTTTCTGTATTTTATTTTCAACTACAATTGTTTTCAAAGTGGAATTGTTTACTTTGCTTCATACATGGAAGGGTTTGTTTCTGTTTTGACTGATTGTTTTTTCTTTAGTTATTCACTGAGGAAGAAATGTAGGTTTTTACACGCCAAGTTACTCTAAAGCTAAAACCCGAATGATTTTTTTTTAATCAGAGTTAAGAGCACCCATTTGATTCTCAAGTAGCATCATCAAGAAATGGATATTTTATTCATGTAAAAGTTTTTATATTTAGAAAGTTTTATATGCACCAGATGTTATATATACTGCACTGCAAAAGGTAACATTACCCACTCACCATACTCTGCAAAGAAATTTTAGTAGATTTTAATAGTGGTGTCAAAATGTGTGTAACATTCAGGAATTATGTGAATGTGAAAGAAGGGAAATCATACTCTGTTGGAAGTGTAGAAAATTGTGCATCTAAAACCTTTCTTGTTGGTTTCAAAGTGTTATTGGAGCATGACAAATTTTCACTTGTTAGGATCATAAAAAAGTGACAGATATTGATCAACCTTGCAAGCAAATTGTGAGTGGAGTTACTATATCCAATGTGGTTATATATGAATAAGCACCATCTGTGAAGTTCATACTTTTGAAGGGTTGTGATGGGGAAAATGTCCATCACTCCCAATAATGCTTGGCACCATTCTGTTTTTCTGTAAAACTTGTCAGTTACTAGAACTTCATTATTTTCAAATCTTGTGGTCTGGTGAGGTTGATTGTCCACTTTTGAAGTGCTTCTCAAGTACAGGTTTGAAGGTAGGCAAGTGAAAATTTAGAACATAAATGTTTTGGGAGTGTTTTTGCATATAAGGCATGGGATTTGTGTAAAATGTATTCATACCTAAAGACATATGGTTAGTAAAACATCTTAAGTAAATATGTTCCATAGCCCTGACAGAAACATTTGTCAGTAGGCCAATGCTCCCTGCCACAGAGCATATAAATAAATAATTTGCTTTCAGATTTGATGCAAAGGAACCCACTTTTTCAAAGAAAAAAAAAGAGAGTGAAGACAACATCTTTATTGAAAGTATTCACTTTGAGCCCAGATTTTAACTCTGTAGAACATCCTTGTAACCCTGTGAAGGAGATAATTAAAAAAATGATAGACCATTTGTCCAACTAGCTTAGTCTTTAATGAAACAAAGGAAATAGATTGCATTAATTATCTGAGAGAACTTAGTTGAGAATATGCCTCACAGAATAACAGCAGTTATTCAGGCTGAGGCTGATCTATACGTATAATAGTATAGTGTATGTATTTTCATTAAATTATTAAAGATATCTTAAGGTTTGATGTTTACAGAATCTTCGCTTTGTTAATGTACTATTGTTTTATTTTTTTAGTTCGGGACACTTTCTGTTCATATGGGGTGATGGAGATATGTACCAAGGGATTAGCATCCTCTATCAACCAGCTCAAGGTAAATAAAGCTTTCCAATTCATTCAGAGTGTAACTAAAGACAATGTTTCTTAATGTGTGCTATGATTCACAAGATGTGATACAAATAAACATGTGACACATAAACATCAGGTTCTGGAGCTGACATAGCCTTCTGAGCATAAAGAACAGGTGTATTTGTAAACATTTATAGATCTCATTAGTTTGAAACATAATGCTTATAAAAAAAAAACAGACAAAATATAATAGTAATCGTGAAACAATTCTGAGAGTAACCTGTGAAAGGTTAATCTCAGAAGTCTACAATTCAGTATCTTGAAACAAATGGTCCTTCACCAAAGTAAGGCAAAACTAATGCTATGGTCCTAACACATGCACAAAATGAGTGCAGTATTCCAATAACAAAAGAACATTTTGATACTCTGTTTTTTTTCTTTCAGCTTGTAATGAAGGAAGCTTGTGTATCAAAGAACCTTTTGTTATAAAGACAACATGCTCAGCTAATAAAATCCAAGATTCTTCAGTTATGAGAAAACAAATGAATATAGGAAATTTCATGTTATTAATCATATAATTAGTTTGATGTATTTCTTATAATAGTCACTGTTCTAGGTGAAAGTAAAAATTAACATTAGATAAAGCCATAATTTTTCAGTGTTAACATTTCATTGAGCTTTGTTCACCAGCAACGAGGTGTCAACTTGAACTGTGTTCGGACTTGTGTGGTTGTAGCAGAAGAAAGACCCAGAGTTTCTCTCAGCAATTCTTTTTCCAAGCTTTTCTCCAGCCTAGGACTTTCTCCTCGGGCAGTCAGTACCAGTTTTGGGTGTAGAGTCAATGTAGCTATTTGTCTTCAGGTGTGTATTCAGATATTGTAGCTTATGACTTTTTCTTGTCAGAAGTCTATTTTTTTTCTACCACATTAACATTATTCTAGTATGATGTTCACAAGAAATAAAAATTCCATTAGTAAGTAAACACTTAGTCTTTTTTATTTAAAATTAGTGTCTTTAATACTATTGGTTATAATGTTTAAAATAATTTGGAATATAACGGTTATTATGTTTACACTTATGAAGATTATTTTGCATTTAGGCCGAACCTTACGAGTTGTTTTTGGACTTATGGTTGTAAATATCATTAACTGTAAGGGTACTCAACTGATGAATCAATGAATTCTCATTGTTATATGTTTTAGTTTTCTTGTGTAATGATTTTGGATATTAAGTATTTTTGTCAGTTTCTTATACATAATGGGATTCATTAATTTATAAGTTACTTTTAGAAATAATCAACATATTTATCTTATTTCTGATTAGAATTATTAATAATTCTTCTTGAGGTTTATACCGTATTAACAAGCTGCTTCATACGAATATGTTGGCTGCAGCTGTATGAAACAACTTTAAAAGTAGTGATATTGTATGATCATTTAGAAAAATATCTGTATTAAAATACATCAGAAACTGTTAATTACACATAATTTTTCAGTAGGTACTTTTTGAAACCAAAAGTGTTACTAGTAATCCCAACAAATACCTTTTGGTTACTTTTTACTGTCAGTTATTTTCATTCTTGTATACAGGGTGATTATGAAGACACGCTCTATATCTAAAATGATTTTATTTTAGAATTTACTTGTCCCTGAAGAACTAAGTTTCACCAGAGACACACTAAGAATCACAAATTTTATTTAGGAAGGTTTGAACATAGTACAGGTTGTTTCAAAAAGTGTTCAGTAAGCTTTCTATCACTGTCAGTCAACATTTTGTCATTAATCTTTGCAAGTATTGGGTTTCCCTTATAATTACCTTGTACTTTGGTTTTGGTTTCTTTCTGTTAGATTTTAATGATACATATCTCTTTAGGGAGCATCTAGTCCTGACCCAACGACTGTATTTGTAGATGTACGTGCCCTTAGAAATGACAGGGTAACACTAGTTGAGAGAGGAGCACCTCATAGCCTGTGTCTTGTAGAATCTGGGAAGTTGTTGCCTGGGGTTAAAGTTGTTATAGCTGATCCTGAGACCAAAGGTCATTGCGCTGACTCACACCTTGGGGAGGTAAAATAGAGCTTAATATGTTCATTATTCAAATACTTAGATTTTATGATGCAAAATGGGATAAATTATTTGAGTTTTATAGCACTTGATGTGCTGATTTTTATGTGATTGAGATATTATGAGGAACTTCTTTCAATAAACATTGATGTACTGTTGTGTTTACTGAACTTGTTTTTGTTTGACTTAACTTGGGAGTAACATGAATAACTGACAAATACATTATTAACATGATGAATTGGAAAATATAAAAAATGGCCAAAAATGATGAACGATGAAAATGTAGTTAATGTTTTGGTCAAACTTGGAACTGTGTTTTTCACAAAAATGTATTCTAGAAGATGCCAAAGAGTTATATAAATACTAGAAATAAAAAAGGGAGTCAGATGTTGTGTAATTTTTACCTCTTTGTTCTATTTCTAGAATTGTTGAAAGCACAGTTTAGTTTTTTGTTCACAAACTTTGTGGATCTAGATTTATGTAAGAAATATTGTTCTCTCTACAGATTTGGATACAGTCCCCTCACAATTCTACTGGCTACTTCACCATCTATGGAGATGAATCACTCCACAATGACCATTTTAATGCACGTTTAATGACGGGTGACACTGCACAAACATATGCTCGTACTGGCTACCTAGGGTTTTTAAGAAGAACTGAGTCAGTACAGGCAGATGGTGGTGAGGTTTAAACTTTTAAAACATTTGATTTTTTTACTTGATTTAGTATTGGAAAAAATCTATCATGTTTTTATATAGTTATCAGCTCTTTGAATTAATTGTTTTTAAATGTATAATAGAAATATATATATAATTAAAGGACTAAATATTGTGTGAAAAAAGCAGTCTGATGAAAATGAATTATTTTTTAAGAGTTATAGACTGGTTTGAAATCATTTAGTGATTCATTGAACTAAATTAGAACACTTGAAAGATTAGTATAGATGAGTTTTCTTGTATCACTAAGTGCAATAAAGCAGAGAATCATCATATAGTTGAACTACACAACCCATTATTTTGTTCACTTCCCTTAGAAACTAAAAACATATGCTCATAGAAACATGTTCAAGAACTAGAGTTTTAGTTAGAAATAACATTAATAAAATACTTGCTGTTCTTTTTCTCATTAATTAACTGCATTGATGAACAGATGAAAAAAAAAGCTTTTATAAGACTGTTTAAAATTTTGTTTATTATTTTTAGAGCTCCATGATGCAGTGTTTGTAGTTGGGGCTCTTGATGAAACAATCATGCTGCGAGGTATGAGGTACCATCCCATTGACATTGAAAACAGTATTCTACGCTGTCACAAAAAGATATCAGAATGGTATGTTGTCTAATTTTTAAACTTTTGCCTTCTTATAGTAAACTAGAGAAGAGAGAAAAAATTATAATATATTGGATAACAAATCCTGTATTACTGACCAGTTGCAGTTGGTAACAGAGAACATTACAGAATACATCTTTAACATAAGTTGTTCAAAGTCTGTAACAATGATTTGCACACCTTGCCCCTGGCAATCTCCATGATGTGGGACTTTTCAGGTTAATAACTCTGACAATTGTCACATAAGATTTGTGATTTATCGTTATTTCTGGTTACAGCTATAATGTTAAGTTAAGCATCCAGATGGTTGAGAATATGTTATGATGAACTCTGCATAGTCTAAAGTTGATGTAAGGACACCACTATATCACAAGAAAATAGCTTTATAACTTTGTACAGAGTGGATGCCAATCAGGTATGGTTCCAACAATTCTATAGTTCGATTCCTCTATAAATCAAACACCAGACATCTACCTTGCACAAATAGACCACTAGTGTTGGAAGATGGGGCTTTAAGACCTAGACACTCATCTGTATATGAATACCCCTCTGTATGTTTTCAAGATATGGAAAAAAGCTTGGTGAAGATTTTATTTGTACATGCACCTCTCTAACCTTTGAGTTAGATGTATCACACGTATGTTTTCTTTAACATGGTATAGTAAGTTGTGATTTAAAATATATTTCATTGCAATGAATAACAAATCCCATGCCAGTGACCAATGTGAGCAAACTTGTTTAATACTGAAAAGTCAAATTTTTCTCAAGTCCATTTGTTTTATGTCCAGAGATAGCCTTAAGCACACTTTGTCTCTGTATCTGAAAGTCAGATAGCTTTAAATACAGTGTGTCACTCAGTCTTCAGATAGCCTCAAACACATTGTCACTGTCTTCAGATAACCTTAAAGACATTTTTGTCTCATTATGTGAAAGAGTAAGTGAAAGATGAGTGTTTTTGAAAAACTATTGATTTACAGTAAAATGCAATACTTGTATATAAAAAAAGAATTGGTTAATATCATTGTACGTAAAATTCTGAAAGCCAAGAAAATACATAACTGACACTTATAAACTAAAAAAATTCTTACATTAGATTTCTTTGTCATCAGTGGATGTAGTATGGTGGCTCTGAGATTGAATAACCTTCTAGTAGCATTCTTTCAGTTTTATATACAAGGTGGACCATAGGAACCTTCCAATAAAGATGCTAAAGAATATTAATTATGTTGTATTTCATGCAACTGACTCATGTGGTGATATATATAAGTGATCAGGTGAGGTTAGACTGACTATGCAATCATGCCAATATGGTTTAATCATTTGTGTTATTAATTTTGTTTCTCTTTATTGGAAAGGTGGTACATTCTTACTGAGGCCACCCTATATATGTGTATGTGTACAGTATTTTTATCTTTTTTTTTTACTTGGTATTATTATAGTATTAAAAATATTTTAATTTTTCATCATTCATATAAGATAGGTTTTCAAATTGTTTACTTTCAGAACTCGTATATTTAATACACTGGAGCCCCATTATAATGCAGTCTGCTAAAGTGCACAACTCATTATAACACAGGTCCATTTTGGACCCCAAGATTTTCATTTAAATATATATTGTTTATGAGGCCATTTTAATGATTTTATCTCTAGTTTTGCAACTGGTTTGACACTTTTGAAGGGACCTCACTATGATGTAGTATCATGATGTGGGCTGCATTATAGCAGGGCCTCAGTGAATTTATTTCTGCTAACTTCATCAATACAGATATTCTTTCAGTTGATTGGGTGTGTACTTTTGAATGTTACTGGTAAGCTTAAGTTTGTTATTATAGCTGAAACACTTGTTTACCTTCAGTGCTGTGTTTACTTGGACCAACCTGTTGGTGGTGGTGGTAGAGCTTGATGGAAATGAAAATGAAGCTCTAGATCTGGTACCCTTGGTGACTAATGTTGTCTTGGAAGAACACCAGCTCATTGTAGGTGTGGTTGTTGTTGTGGATCCGGGAGTAGTCCCCATTAATTCCAGAGGAGAAAAGCAGCGAATGCATCTTCGAGATGGATTTTTAGCCGACCAACTTGATCCAATCTATGTGGCATATAACATGTGACCAAATGACTACTCTTCATGAGTTACATGGCAAAACCTTTTGACCAATCAGTGATATCTGTTACTACATGTCTTTTTTTTATTATTAATTTCCAAAAAAAAAGATGGATGTAAACTTCTTATCAGTCTGAAAAATAGCATTGGAAAGTTTATATATATATATTATGGACCATTTCCAACCACCTTAAAACAGCTTGGTTATACTTAAGTAGCTATTATAATAAAAGATGTATGTACCCTGTGAAGACATGGTTTATTCATACATCATAAAGAAGTACTCTTTAACCTATCCATGGGACATATAGACAGATCAATATGTTGTGAGTGGTAGTCTATACTTGATTAAACAATCACTTTAACTTAAAACAAAGTTGAAATTATATTTTAATTTGCAAGTTTTCATCAATGGGTCTGTTATCCTGCAAAAGGCCCTAGACAGTTAAATGAAGTTAACTCATGTTAAGACTGCTGTTTTTCATTTTACGACATGCACTTAGAAATGAAGCATCCAAGAAACGTGCTGACCCTTGGATCTTACAAAACAGGAATCAGTAACTAAGATTCTAATAGTATTGCCTAATGTGAAAGGTTTTTAAACACCTCTGTAATAAATATTGTCTTGGTTAAGTAGGTTTTACAAATACTTTACATATCAAAAATTAGGAAGTTAATTAAACATTATCTCCTTAGTAGTACTGTGAAGTTAATAACTTTTAAAAGGTTGCAGTAACAGCACTATATCAGGCTGCATAACCAAAAGAGAAACTTGAAGTTTTTAATTTATTGATCCATAGTTTAGGTTTTAAACAGGATTTTCTTTTTACCTACTATGTTATTTATCATTATTGATTCAATGTTTATGTAGCATTTATACTTAATATCACATTGCTAATATATTTAGAAACCACTAGGTTAATTATGATAAGGTGATAAGTAACACCTAGTATGTAGAAAGTTGTTTACCACTTCCAAGGTGTTCCATGAAATGTGAAACCTGTATTAAGTTCACAGTACTAGGACTGATAAATTTTAATGTTTCAGTTTAGTGCAAAGTCTGTCAGGAAAAACATTTTTTTATAACTTACAGCATGTCACTTTTTAGGAAACTTTGGTAATCTATATAGAGAGAAGTAAAATTTAATGTTTTTGTTTGCTTCAAACCAAAGAACTCTATAATACGTTCACATTTGATGGACACAAGTGTCATCATATGAGTGTATCGAATGTTTTAAGTTTTCGAGTGGAAAAAAGACTATGTGTAAGTATTGAAATGAAGTTTTTCTCATTCAAAGGCACTTTTTTAGATATAGAATAAACAAAGTTGCTTTGAATACACATATAAACTCGTATTTTCATGTCTCCCCTCCTCCCCATTGATTTGAGTGCTTATAATGCCAGATAGCCCATTATCCAGCTTTGCCCTTTGAACAAAAACAAACATATTTTCATGCATAACTTAAGAATTATATTTTTTTGTTTTAATATTGCTTCATAAATCAATAACTTTTTTATTTTAAAAAATTAAATTATCGTTCATCAAAACGTGTTATAGTAGTTGAATTCATCTTCTTATAAAACTTATTTAATAGATTGTTCAAGCAGAGTATTCATGATGATTACATTGGAATGGGTGTCAATTGTCTGTTGTAGAAAAAATACAAGTATAGAGGACAACGTTTGTGAAGTATTCCATCTTTAGGTCCTCAAGATGGATGATTTTGTAAACGTCGTCCACTACACTTGTGTTTTTATACAACAGGCAGTTGCCACCAGTTCCAGTTTACTCAATAATGTACATATTTAGCTATAATGATTAAGAAATTTTACACTTAGCTAATTTGAAAAACAGAGCCTATATATTAAACCAAAATAGGTTTGATGTATGACTCTCAGATTATTTCAAACATGGTAATAAGAAGATTAAACATTAACGGTAAAGTTCATAGTGGATTTTGTGAAACAAATTTAGCTGATTCCTACATAAGTAAGAAATCCTGTACCCAGAAAGCTTTGTTAAGTAAGTCTGTCCTTTGTATATGTCAGATTTTAGTGCCTGTTAATACTTAGAGTAGGTTCTAAGGATACTGAATAGTATGAAGAAAGTCCTATATAGATTCAGTACTTCAATGAATCCAGCCATTAAACTTTAATTTTGTGTATTTTATGCTGCTTTTATTTTTCTAATGGTTTATTATCATTATTTCTCTACTCAGTTTGAAGTAAAGCAGTTTAAGGTATTAATGTGTGTAGATTTTGAGTGAAATGCATTTTGGTAGTTATTATATCTTCATTTTTGTACATAGAAGTTTGTATAAAAAAAGAAAAAATATATGTATTAATCCATTCAAATCAGATAAGAGTTGATAAGTAGATGTACAGTATGGTGACAAGAGATTTCATACTTTGCCCAGTGAATAGTTTCAAAAATGAGTTTTTGCAAAAAATGATTGAAAAGTCATTAATATATAGATGTGTGGAAACTGTCCATAGAGCATAATATTTCCATGTTATAGTACTGATAAATATTAATATAACCATCAGAAATCACTAAGTTAAAAGTTTTGAAGCTTGTTTAACAGCTTATTAACATAGGATATAGAACAAAATTGATCAGTTCAATTTATTAGGTAATATTTGTTGTTAGAGAAATGAGGAATTCCTTGTTAATGGAATCAATCACAATATGGCTGTTATGCATGAAATTTCAAATTGACAACAGAGATGTAATATATGTGGCAGCAAAGTAACCTACATATAGCAGTATGTAATACACGTTTTAATAAAAATGCATTGTTATTCAGATTTTTTATCCTTTTAGTGAAATAACACGTAATATATATATATAGTCAAATCCGGTTCTGTACACACAATTTGGACTTTTAATACGTATAATTTAAGCAACATCAGTATGTCTAAACACCAGAATGGAGTATGTACAACACGACTTCTCAACACAGTTCTAACCTATAGTGTTGAAAGTTATACACCCACCAATTCTTTCCTCACGAGTTTATTTAGAATGTGTGTTTCATCAAAGATAAACAAATTACAAGCTTAGAAGCTATCGTTGTCTGTCGTTATTCAGTAACATGCTTTTATTGTGACACAACACGTACATTTTCAACTTTAGACATGTTCAATACAAATGAATTTTCGTAAGTCAAATGACACAATATTAAATGCAGTATTATATCAGATACATATCATGGTAACAGGTATACTTTAATGGTCTACTTTGATCACATTATTGGAAAGCTTCAGGTCTCCATTTTTAATTTTTTATCGTAACGTTGAAGCTACCTAACATGTGATTAACATTTTTCAAAGAACATTTAATTCACAGTTAATGATGGATGTGATGTAGGCTACCTTAATTAAACGATGAAGCAAATATATTTAATGACGCTGATCTCGCATGTGATTCTTTAATTCATCTCATATTTCATTTCAGCTATCATAACTCAGAAATTCTTAGAAATATCCTCTTTAATAGGTAGATAATAAAATATAAAGCGTCAGTTCAGATAGCCTTATACCTAAAGGTTTAAATGTACTGATATATCTTGTACTTCTGGCGTTAAAACAAAAGGCGAACTTTTGATGCATATTATTAGGCCTAAGAAAGTTGTCATGATTAAAAAAAACACTGACCTCATTTCCACGGAGCAATAAGTTAATGATAGTGTCAATTTTTCAAACATTATCATAACTTTCAAGATTTATGGTGTTTGGCTATGAGTTCTACAGAGGGTGAGTACGTGATATCAAAACGATATTGGAACCTCGCCACGTTGTGAAAATACATGGCGCCACGTCCGGTCATACTCTTATCTGACTACTTTGAACCTCGACAATAGCTCTACACCATAGCTTCCATTACAAAAGACCCAGTCATAAGACTGTCATTTACAAAGCAGACTTCTTCGTGCTTACTTCCACAATCCATCTAATGTACGAGGAAGCTGACTTCCCAGCGCTCATTTCAACAGTCCAATCGCGCAGAAATCCATAGGTGCTGCATACGTTGACTTGACTCGTATGTACTCGTTTGGAATAGCATGAATATCTGTTTCATTCTTCGGATGCTTGAGTAATGCGATGCTTGAACGGATATGCTGGAGAAGCAACTTGTGTGCACTGACTTGTGTTTCATTTTCAGAAGGGAATCCTAATTGATTATCTTGAGTACTGTTTCATGGTCACGTGGATGACTTTTGCCACTGACCTTTGCGTTCTTAGATTCTCAACTGTCACAAGACACCGCCCTTTGTTTATCACGGTTGTAGTACGACTTGTAGTTCTCTTTCTGGATGGTCCTAGTGCACCCAAGTTGATCGATATTCATTTGTTTTCTAATTACATTAAATACAAGGTTATTCCTGTCTTGGAAATTATAAATCCCCTGTCAGAATACATCTTTATGACCTGAATGGATGAACAGCTTGTTTATATGGTAAAAACGGATGTATTTTGTTGTTGTTTTCTGGACAGTATGTCGATATGGTAAATATGGGTGTTTTCTTTCTGGGCAGATTGTTGAAAGGATAAAAACGGGTGTTTTCCTTCTCGAGAGTTTGTAGATATTATAAACACGGATTGGTTTGGTTTGTTTTGAATTTGGCGCAAAGCTACACGAAGGCTATCTTCGCAAGCCGTCCTTAATTTAGCAGTGAAAGACTAGAGGGAAGGCATCTAGTCATCACCACCCACCGGCAACTCTTGGGCTACTCTTTTACCAACGAATAGTGGTATTGACCATCACATTATAACGCGCCCACGGCTGAAAGGGCGAGCATGTTTGGGAGAAAGGGGATTCGAACTCGCGACTCTCAGATTGCGAGTTGAGCACTCTAACCACCTGGTCATGGTAAACACGGATGTCTTTTTTATATAAATATATTGTCGATATGGTAAACACGGGTGTTTATTTTCTAGATAGATTGTCGATATGGTAAACTAGGGGATTTCTACTTGGAAAGATTGTCAATATGAGGAAAATGGGTGTTGCCTTACTGGACAGGCTGCTATTATGGTAAACCCGGGTGTCTTCTTTCTGGATGTACTTTCGATTTGGTAAAGAGAAGTTTTCTTAATTCTGGGCAGCTTGTTTATGTGATAAACACAGAAGTTTTATTTCTGGATAGCTGGTCGATATGATAACCACAGGTGTTTTTTCTAGAGAGCTTTTTGATATGTTAAACACATTTTTTTTTTTCTTTTCTGGAAAGCTTGTCATTATAATAAACTTAAATGTGGATTGAAAAGTGTTTATTTATAAAAATCCACATAAAAGCCATCAGTGATATCTTCTTTTTTTCTCTTTTCACATAAAAAAACAAAGTATTTTGAAGAAAGAAAGAAAATAGCATTCCTGGATATTTTTTATATATAATTGCTTTAAATGGAGGCCACTCAAATCAAACATCATCTCTCAAAATGTCAGATACCTTGTTTAAGGAGAAATACATATAATTCGTCATGATGAACTTGAAATAAAATACTCAATAGTAATAATTAACATTATATATGCTCAGTGAAACTACAATGCATTATATCAGCGGAAACTAGACTTATTTTAATGAAACCACGTTTTCGTACTTGAGTAAAATCTTCGGGTTTCATTAAAAAATTATTTAATACTAGCCGCGCCCCGCAAAACATTTGCAGTAGGTTTCATGTCCTTTCGACTCACAATCTGAGGGTCGCGGGTTCGAATCCGCATCCCACCAAAC